ATTAGTTGGACTACAGAATGTATTTTAAGGAATGTTTTTAATCAGGATCATAAAATTTAATCCAGAAGTATTTTGTTGTTCTGTTAATAGTACATTGCTTTGAAACTAAAGACTACATAGACCTTTATTGTAGCATCTAATTATACATAATTTTATTGTTTTGGATACCTTTTGTTTTATGTTCATGATATTAGAAAAACATGTAGGTTCAAGAAGTCTTGATAGAAATGAATAAAAACCCTATAACCCGAGCTCCCAGTTTGCCCCTAAAGAAGAAAGGTCCACTTTTCAAAAGTGCTCGGATATAGGGTTTTTATCATTTCAATTTTGTTTTATGTAACATCCACCCTAAAATTGACACTATTAAAGATTAATTAAAAATTTCATATTAAATGTAATGGATATTTGGTTTAAGTATCCTTTAAAAAAAGGATAAAAGTAGTTTTACTTTGGACAGATATCCTCACTAATGGAGTGAAGCAATCGGGAAATGTCAGTGTAGTCATATATACTTTGAAATTAATTAAGGCAATAACAATATCAGAATTCTTTATAACTTAAATTTAATATTTAATAATAATAGAAATAGTAATTATGAATTTTGTTTTTAACTATAAGGAAAAGCTCACACAAAATTTTCCAACATGACTTGTGATTATAAAATATCAGGTCATCAAGAAATTAATGACACGTTTTGGAACACTTTCGTTAACCAACCCCCCAAAAACGTACATCACGTATAATAGTTAAATGAACTGCCTAAATGTCATGTTAGTGTAGCCTATATAATGTGTAAAGTTTAGTATACTCTAATCCTTTATAGTGATGGCACACGATTAGATACACATTCGTCATGTAATGTTGTTTGAATACAAGAAGGGAAACAAAATAATGCCTCTGTAGCCGTAAAGAATATCAAAAAAGTTTATGGAAATGTTTTGAAAGTTTGTAAATGTCAACGATGGTTCAGCAAATTTCGTTCAGGTGACTTTAGCCTTAAAAACTGTGATGGCAGGAGGCCAGCATGTTGGAATTGATATTGATGCTCTCAAGACGCTTGTTGAATCTAACCCAAGGCAACACACACTCGTGAAATGGCCCTGAAATTACATGCCTCTCATGAACAAACATAACATCTAAGGAATATGGGAAACTCCATAATAAGGTGTTTGGGTCCTCACGAACTCTCTGATGATCATTGTTTCCAACATGTGAACATTGTCACTGGTGAGG